CCACTAATTCTTGCTGTTTCAAATTCAGTGTATCGTAGTTCATAATAGAGTCAGCATGCCAAATGGAAAGTAGAAATTATTTGTAAAAATCATCATAAAAAAAAATCCTTTTTGTTTCTTCAGAACGAGAGGTCCTGCTCTTTAAGACAGATATTTTCGTTGGTTCCTTATATAGTTTGTCTCTTTTCCATCTCAATAAATAATGCAAATATAATGATGTGTAACCGGTCATTTCACACAAAATGACATTCTGTACAATAACGTTGACGTTATCAAACAAAATATTAAAATATATTGAACAAGAATGATTTAAAATTTCATTTTTGAAATTAATTTTCCTCAAAAGAATCTAAAATGTTGAAATCCTCATGATGGATAGGCGATGGTTCTATTCATATTTGCATTAATTGCACCTAGATGATGATCTTATAATTGCTGACTTCATAAAGCCATTCATTCTCCTGTTAACAACCAAAGCCCTATTGAGTTCTGACATCTTCAAAGCCTAATCCTTGAATAATGGCTCCAATTTGAGGAAGTCTGCTTCTTTTTTCATTGTTAGCATCAACCGAGGACTAATCACCTCTAAATCCAGCTTTAATCCAGTGGCTATATTACAATGAGATCAAGTTCAAAAGCTAGAAATTCTTTTCTATCTATTTTTAACATCACAGTGAACTTTTGTTGTCTGTCTATGGACCTGAGATATATCTTCTTTTAAAGTTACTATGAGGCATGTGAGGAAGCTTTTTGATTGATGTCTTCTTTATCCGTATCATGCGATATCTGTACATTCAGCCATTCTTTGTTGTTTACAATCCAAATATTACATTTTATGCGAGCAATAGTTACCCAGAAATTATTTAAAAGATAAAAATAAAATTCATGTAAAAAGTTTCTTTTAATTTGGGGTTTGCAAGCTTTCGAGCTAATATACTGCTCTTCAGCGGGCAAATACTTTATGTACAATCACTGAATGATCTTTATACAAAAACTAGCCGAATGACCCGGGCAACGCCCGTGTTTTACCCGATTGAATGTTTTTATTCAAATACTATTTGCTACAATTATAAATTGGCGCCTTAAATAAATGCATATATTAGTTAATAACTATAGCCTATGTGCTTTATCTGTCTATGTACTGTTGGCTTCCGTAGGCGTCTCTTACTGGGAAAAAGAAAGAGAGGATTCCATTTAGTTATTAACTAATATATGCATTTATTTAAGGAGCGACCCGCTCCAACACAATAGTTACAAAAACCAAAAAGCGAGTGGGGGGGGGGGGGGGGGGGGGGGCAAAGTCAAAAACAAAGTGTCTCGCGTAGTGGTGGCGTGATGGTAGCCAACCAATAGGAGAGCGCCATTCCACAAAAAAAAAAAGCAAACGGTGACAGAGATGAAGACATGACGCATGACGCTCGTAACTGTATATAGAACAATTGCAAATTTATTGTTATTGGTATGTGCTCTCACGGGCATGCATCAGATTGTTTACAGCTAAAGTAATATATATTATATTGTGATGAAATATATAGACACAAACAATTATTATTATTAAAAATAATTATTATTATATAGATAATTGGTCAGGGATATTGTTATATTGGGTTGGGAGGTCTATTTTTTCTATTGATGCTATTTATTTTTGATGATACCAGTGCTTTAAGGAATAATCGTTATTGCTTGCTTTTTATGTTGTGATAATGGGTTATTGCTTGTTTGAGATTGAATGTGTGTCCAGTGGTGAAGATGTGTTGATAAATTAAGGATCTATTGTCTTTGTATCTTATGTTTCTCTCGTGTTCTGTTAGTCTGATCTCTATTGTCCTACTGGTTTCTCCTACATATGTGGCATTGCATTGGTTACATTTGGCAGAATATATTGCATTCGATTTAGATAGGGGATTGGAAATAATATTTTTGGTAATTGGGTTTCTCAGTAAAGAACCGAGATTGGCATGGGTGATAAAAATAAGTGGCTATACCATATTTATCTAACTTAGGAGCTATTGCAATATTGGTTTTAGAAAAAGAAATGGTGCAATGTGTTCGGTTTTATTTTATATTCTTTAAAAAATATCAAAAACCTTTAGCAATAAGTTTCTTCTCTTGATTTATAATAGTAAATCGTAATTTATTCTATATATTAATTTTATTTTCTCTTCTAATATTAATTGTAGTAATTTATTTTTGTTGGAAGAGACTAAAGATAGACGCGCACTTAGGTCCGAAAGTTCGCAAATTTTTAAATAAAGAAACTTATGGCGTCTACCTTTGGTCTGTTCCAACAATGAAATCCTGCGATTCCTTCTATTATAATTTATGTTTGTTGTTATTTATCATCACAAATATTGATATTTTTCTCAACAAAGTACAGAGTATATAGGCAGCATTAGCATACAATAGTTCCAGCGATCTGGTGGATTTGATTAGCGAAATCACTGAGATTGTTTGCCTTATTTTCCATATTCAGTTCAATAATAGTAGAAATTCATCCATTTTTTAAAATAGCGTTGAATGTCTCCATCCTCTACATATAGAGGGCAACATGAGTATTGTTTAGTTATGTTTCTTAACAGGATTTTGTATTTGTTGTCTTGTTCTTTAAGAGAAAGATCTGTACTCGATGTTGAAATATGTGTGAAATTTCTATAATCAACAACAACAACAACAACAACAAAAAGCCTTTATTCAGGGTCACTGACCCTATACAGGATTCACCAGAGGTATGCATAAGAACAAAGCAGTGAGACAAAGGAAATAACGATATATACAGAAGAAAAAGAAAAAAAAACAAGAAAGAGAAAGAGGGAAGCAAGAAAAACAACACAAAAAGAGTAGCAGTAAGAAAGTGAGGAGTGAGTGTCACTTGGCCTTCTTCTGAGATATGGACTTGTGGAAACCATAAAACGCCGTAGCAATATAACTTATTCTGGGTCATATTGTCAATTATTGATGGAAGTGAAGCACAGAGTTGCCCAAATTTATATAATCACAGAAGCATATTTTTTTATTTTTGTTGACTACCAACATTAAGAGCAGACTTGTGCAGATTTAATCTGTATACTTTATAAGAATAATCAACAAACAATAGTTGCAGCGATCTGGTGATTAAATTAGCAAAACCGCTAAGATAGTTCACCACTGATGTGCTATGCGATCCTAATTATTATTTTTCAAATTTAAATTTTTCTTTGCATGTTTTTTTTTTTCTATTAACCAACTGTAACATAAAAGATTATTATGTTTATTAACTTTTGACCATGATTATTAATGTTGTGGTATATAAAAATATAGTGTAGAACAAGCGCAGCCATGCTTGTAGTAAATAAAATATATCACTATTAAACGGTGATAATTACTGAATAAAGCCTCAACCGCTACATAACATGGTGACAGCGGAAAACGAAGAAAAAGCTTAAAAATTTCGAAGCAAACGAAGTGAAAGAAAAGTTTAAACCTCTAAAGTAAGTAATTTTTTTTTTCAATTTTGAAAAAATAGATTATACAAATTTTGGAATAATGGATCATTTTAAACCTCCATCTCAATTTGAATTAACTACAAATAAAGCAAGAACAACTTGACCCTCAACCATCTACATCTTCCCAGAGCGAGGAGACTTCAGCCACAACTAGAACCAGATGCGGAAGACTAGTTAAACCCCCAGTGAGGTTGAATCTTTAAGGAAAAAGGGAAGAAGGGAGAAAAGGAAAAAGAAAAAAAAAGAGAAAAAAAAAGACATGTAACATAAAAAGACTATTATGTTTATTAACTTTTGACCATGATTATTAATGTTGTGGTATATAAAAATATAGTGTAGAACAAGCGCAGCCATGCTTGTAGTAAATAAAATATATTACTATTAAACGGTGGTAATTACTGAATAAAGCCTCAACCGCTACATAACACCAACCAGGCGCGATATTGAAATAGTTGTGCCTATTACAGAGGACATAAACAAAACTACAAACAAATTAGAACTTATAAAATAAAATGATTTAAAAGCTTAGAACTTAGAATTAAATATTTAAAAATATAAATGTATTAATCGACAGAGATCATAAAATTCATATAAACAAAGTGACTGATATAAGAGAGTTAAATCATTTAGATCAGGGAACAATCTCACTTCTGTAAAGTCCAGACAATCATAGATAAGGTGAAGAGCATGTTCATATATATATATATAAAAATCAGTGTTTGTATGTTTGTTTGTTTGTATGTCCGGTATACAAATTCGCAGTAGTTCACTAATTCAAACCAAAATTTCCATACATAGGTGAAAAAAAAAATACGGGGAAGACGATAGGCTATTTTAAAAAATATATAAATCAATTATTAAAACTATATATTCAAATTATTCTACTTAGCTCACGAACAGCGCCCTCTATCAACGATTAAATTATGCTGATTCAAACAAATAGATAATGCTAATAACAAACAATTATAAAAAAAATCTTATCTAAATATATATCACTTGGGTAGATATGCATACGGGTCAATCCCGGGGCGAAGCCCGGGTCACCCGTCTAGTATTTTTATAAAATCAATAAGGAATAGAACACGCCGCGTGTTATAATTGGCTATAAGTTGTACTTCTGGAACTCCGTGTTAAAGGGCATGTTAGCCAAAAAGCTCAAGAAATAAAATAAATGAGAAACCAAACCCTTATTGATTATACCAAAATGTAAAAGCAAGTAATAATCTTGTTTATTCTTCGAATTAAAGATACTTCGGCCAGTAAGTCTTTTTTATTGTCTCGACGTTTCGACAAAAATATTTTGTCCTTGTCAGGAGCGAACAAAAATTAAAACATAATATAATACACTGCGGCCTGTGATTGTAAAACGACACTTGAAGTTACACCGCATGAGTTTCTTTTCAACGAAAAATCGAATTTTTTTATTTTCAAGGTGAAATATCGACTATTTTCAACCTTTTTGGATGAGCTATGAAAGGATAAATTATGAAGAGTAATGACGAACGGAAAAATAAAAGTGTCCAGGGATGGGAATCGAACTGACAATGTTCCGCTTACCGGGCAGATGCCATGTCCACTAGGCTACCCTGGACGTATTTTTCTGTTCGTAAATTATACATAAAAAGTGTATCTTATAATATAATATAATACACTGCGGTCTGTGATTGTAAAACGACACTTGAAGTTACACCACATTTGGTGTTGAAAGTGACAATTCCAGATATATCTACGATGCAATACTCTTGTGATTTGCATAGCAGTTTAGTATTGTCTATGCTAATTGACATCTGCCTATAGAGCGACCTTGTTGGATTGTTAGTTGGCTAGCGGTTAATTGATAGGGCAGGCCGGCGTGAGCTGCTGATGTATATATAATTTTATCTTTTGACATTCTTTTTTATACCTTTTAAGTAATAAAGGATCTTTCTCTTCCTCTACGAATCCATAAATTTTTCCCAACATTTGGAAAAGCGTTACAAATAAAAAAGATTTACTGGTCGAAGTATCTTTAATTTGAAGAACTATGATTGCCAGCCAGGCATCTTCTATCTTTACGAAAATCTTGATTATGTCTATATATGCTCTAATACACCATTAGAGCTCTACAGAGTTGAGTGCAGAGAACCCACGACCACCCTGATGAAGCCATCACCCTCTAATCACAGCTTCTATGACAGAAAAGTTATAAAGATATCGTATTCTAATGAAGTTTCCCAAATGACCGCTTATCGTAGGCGTTATTTATTTTATTTGGTGATAAGAACGTTTCGGTGTAATTGGTTAATGCTCTACACGCGAGATAATAAACTTAGTCATTAGGCGCAGCGTGGCTCTATAAAATGCCGAGCTTCATTAAGGCGGCCCCACACACGGTGTTCAACATTCTTTACTCCTTCACGCGATACTTGTTTTCTAATTTATGGTCCTACAAGAAAGGTCATTTAGATAGCTAGTTTAAAGATATCACTATTTAGTACCAAAAATAGCAATGTGTACTTTGTGATAAAATGAAGAGATCGGGGAAACGCGAGTGGATGCCAAAACACTGAGGTAAACCTTGGAAAGATAGTAAAATATTGTATTCGTCTAGAAACAAAATAGTAACACGTCCTTCTACAATTACTACTAATAATTACTAGGGCTCTGCTGATTTTGTACATAATTGAAAACTTATCATCATATTTTATGAAAAAGGCATCTCCTCATCGTGTAACTGAAAGTTACTGATAGCTTGCGCCATCTATCGGAATAAATATCAACTATTCTGGTTGATTTTTAATTATTCTAGAATTGGACAAATACCCATTCTTGATTAATCAAGAAAAGCTAACCAAGTACGCGTTCCAGGCGGTTGGCCCTCATCAAAGTGGTGCAAACTTTCAGTTGCACGATAAGGAGATGCCTTTTTCATAATTTATGTACCTTATCCCAGTACAATATGGCATTTGTACTATTTCTCATATTATCATCATATATTTTCATAAGTAACACTAAGTAAGCAAATATCAGAGTAATAGAATTATGCATGCGATTTTTTAAAATATCAAAATAAATTTTAGCATATTTATACAGTAGAACTTTAATAATTTAAACTTCTTTAATTCGAATATTTATCTTGGTTCCTAGAATTTCCTATGAATAGAATTTCCGTTTTTAATTCGAATTTTTGGATGATTCGATTTTTTTTTTTGGCTTCGAATTATCCCATTTCGACTTGGCACATATATTGAATCTTTATTTTCAGCGTGTTTATATAATTGACTGAAAGTGGTACGTCTAAGTCTCCTGTTGAAAGGCATATTGACCTGAAAGAACGAGAAAAAAATAATTGAAAGAAACCTAGGATTGCTTATTGATTTAGTTAAACACTGTACTAAAGTCACTACATGAAAAGAGCTATGTATAAAAATATTTAATATTCTTTAACAATATGTATAGAGGTAGTAAAAACACGATTGATTATAAATAATTGTAAAGTTCTAACAAAAAAGTAATAAATAGAAGTAATAAGCGCAAAATCTAAATATTTAATGATATAAAGGTCCATTTTGGTTATGAAGTGTTCTTGCTAGTAAGGCAATATGAACAGCCATAATCAATTATGATACTAAACTTTTTCTTCTAAAATAAAAGGTATTTTTTATCATTGCAGTAAGGTATTTAGAGATAAAAATAAACACTTAAAAAATATACATTTCTGCTAGTTAAAGTTTTATTTCCTCAACGTTTCAACAAAAATCTTTTGTCTTCGTCAGGAGAAGCATTATTCCTTGCCAAATGCTTTATTTTTATTTCTCCTGACGAAGACAAAATATTTTTGTTGAAACGTTGGGTAAATAAGACTTTATCTGGTTGAAGTGTCTATTTTTTATTAAATATGAATGCTGGCCAGATAACCTCTATGTTCAAGATAAAAAGGAACACATTGCTAAAAAATTGATTTTCATAGATTTTGACGATAGATGGCAATTAAATTTATAAAGGTCATTTTTATTAATGATGATATTGATGATTAGTATTCAAATTGCTGACGATATATATATATATTTTTTGCTTATCCCTAGTACACGTGGTACAGGCCATGATAACCATGGTGGGTATAAGTAGGCGACTGCTTTTACTGTAAGTGCACCACATGTCTGCACATGTGAAAAGCAGTTCGACTTTACACTTACAAACGATATATTTGATTATCATCAGGGCGCCATATCTCGAACAAAATGAAAACCTGTTAATGCTGTTATTTCACACTAATAACACATACTAAAATATTATAATTCTTCAAATTAAAGATACTTTTAAAATTTTAAAAGATTAACTGGCCAGAGTATCTTCAATTTGAAGAACTATGAATGCCGGCCATGCAGCCTCTATCTTTACGATAAATTATTATATGTAAAATATTTATATTCATCCTATTTTAGGCCTTGAGGGACTCTCTTTGGAGCTCCTGTTGAATAAGGTGGTGAGAAACAGAGCTGGAGCGTTTACGTTGTTCAAATTTTGGAAGACGGCTGAAGAGAAAAGGAAGCTATATAAATAATCTAATTGATGTAAATAATTATATTTAAATAATCTTTGTCAGGACTAGAATGACGAATCCTGTATCGGACTTTGATTCCAGTAAAAGGCTTGTTGCTGCTGTTGTATATAGTCACAGTATAGAAAATACTACACTATACCTACTACATATAGGTTTCTCTCTGTATTCTTAGTTCTCTTCCTTTCAATTACTCTGTAAACTGGCGAATCCTTTATAGGACGAGAGGTCCTCAATAAAGGCTTTTGTTGTTGTATATTCATCCTATTTTTTATTCTTAAAAAACCTTTTATGCTCTCTTTCTAATATTAATCACTACTATCAACACAACACTTTTAAAAAATCGCATTTTTATTCTGTATCAGTAAAACGTTAAAAAAAAATCGGTGGCCGGCGATGTAAAGCGTCGGTTGCCGACAGCCATGAACCAGGATTGAATCCCACATTGGACACTTTTTTTCTGTGAAGAGCCAGTTCATATTTTTCATTGTAAATAACATGAGGTAGGGGTTTCTTTTTTCGAGCAGTACCTAATAAAGTTATTTTGGAATAGGAATCAGTAAAACAAAACAAAAAAATCGCTTCGTTTATATCTATAAAAACAGCCTAGATCGTGATTATTTGTTTGGGCCTATTCGATATCTAAATTTCTTCACTATGTTTTATTCTTCATCTGTCTGAAAGACCTTTTATTACTCCGCAAACAAAAGAAATACTTAGACCATACACAAATAAATACTTGAAAAATGATGCATTAGTTTTTAACACATATAATTTTAAAAATTGATAATACAGTAGAACCTCCCTGTTAAAGACACCTAATTGCAGAACCAAAGTGTCCTTTAGAAAGAGGTGTCCTCTTATCGGAGAGTTGCTAAATAGTAAAAATGATCATTTTACAAATGAAAACTGTCCTTTGTAGAGAGGTGTCTTCTAGTGCGAGTGTCCTCTCATGGAGGTTTTACTGTATTACACAATATTTGATATAATGAAACAAAAATCTCATAGAGACTATCATTTACTTCTGATAAGAAAAACTGTTTTTTCCTTTTACATATTTCCTTTCAGGAACTCATTCAAGAGGTTAAAGGTAAGAAGACGTAATGAATTAAAGACAGATTCCTACACTATATCTTCCTGTCTTAATGTCACTTTTTCTGAGCACACACACACAAATTCGTTATATTGAATACTTAATCCTAAATTACCATTATTTAAAATGGACCAAATTGATTTATTAGTTTCCTAAGAGGACCCATTCATCAGTCGGCCGGCCAATCCTATTAATTTTCTGGTCGCCTGCTATTATAAACGACATCTCTAATTAAATTCTAAATCATGTGGCCTCTGACATATGGCCCCCCGGTCCTTCAAATGTCATCTTCAAATTACATCTCTTTCAAAATAATTAGAGTTTTATTTCTAAATGAGTACATATTAGTGAGAGAGATGTATTGCGAAATTATTTTTGATCTCAATTTTCCTTTTGATTTATAATCGCTTCGATTAAAAATTGAAGTTAAATCTTTATTGAGTTTCAGATACATTGTAGGTATGTATAAAATGTGTGTGGTACCTCTTCCTTTATATATGCAATAAAACAATGAATTTTGTTTATCGCCCATTAAACAACGTAAGGATGGTGATGAAGAATGAGCCAGTTTCGGCAAATTCAGACAAATATCCAACCTGAATATATGTAAACGAATTTATTTAGACAACTTTTTCGCATATATAAAGTACTAAAATTCTTTCATTTTATATATATAGATGGCGCGTTATTGCTATGTATTAATTTACGCCTAACTGGCCTTGTCTTTATTGTTTGCGGAAGAACATTGCTCGATGCAAATATTTAAATGTAATTCTACTTTCCTAAAAGCTTATGTTCATAGTTTTCTTGAAAACCATTTCTGAGATTCTACTCTTCAGTGCTGCGTATATAAGCAGAATCGTCCAATACAGTATTAAAGCTCTAAGAAGCGGTCTGGTAGATTAAATTGGCGAAACCGCTGGGAGGATTCACCACTGATGAGCCAAGCCCTCCCAAT